TTTTGTATGAAGAGGGATGGTCCTAGAAAGTTAATTCCAAACTGAAGAACCTAGAGTGGGGATGAGAAGCACCTTGTATGTGAATAGTAGGTATGTGCAGAAATAAAAGTCAGTAGGCAATTGAACATGGACTACATGAGAAAAGAGTTTAATTTCCCTGCATTGACACCCCAGTGCCTATCCAGAACAAAATGCGGCCTATTTGATAATTTTTTTTCCCACGAACTTCAAAATATCTTTGGCAAAAAGTATGTGAAACTTTACAAGACATTCTTGTGGCTCAAGAAGGTTCTCTAGTGGTAAAATCTAATACTGCAGCATTGTAGTGCTGATTTTGTTGCACATGTAGGAAGTTCTACATTTTTAAAAATAAGAGCCAAGTATATTTTTTCAGCTCAGCTGATCAGCTAACTTATTAATGGGAGTGTGCTTAGGGCTGTGGTTTGTACCATGCAGCTGCATGTGGTTTTTACCTGACGCATCATCATGAAAGTTCCTACTAAAGATGAATAATATGTCTTGTGGTCGTATTGTATTCTTCAGAGCCTATTCAAATGTGTACTAATGTAGCACTTTAGGCTGTCTTGCTGTTTCCATTTCTAACACTGTGGAACATATGTAAATAAAGCCACTCTAACATGAGCAGGTTGACCACTGAGCTTGCACCAAAAGAGCCATGTGCTTCCTTGTGTGGGAATTTCCAGTGCAGACTTTATGGGCCAAATGACCTCTTTCTGTGTTGTAGTGTTTGGTGATTCACTGAAGAATTGTTGGGACTTTTATCTTCGTTTCTGCTCATAGTTGTACTTTGTCACAAGAAATAATGTATTTTACTTGCATTGTACAGTCCTCACCATGTCAGTATGGTGATATGTTTGTATGATGCTCACTCCTGGGAGCTGTATATTAATCCACTGTGGTAGAGGGCTGCTCTCAACCCTAATACAAAATACAGTGTTTGAGTTACAAGTTTATATTTATGAGCGAAGGAGTGAGAAATATGTTTCTGCTGTTGCACAAAACTTCATGTCTTTTCCAAGCTATTACTATGAAGTGATTAAAACAAGTTATCTGTGTTTGTGTTTTACCCCCTAAGCTGAGGTTAGTGCCACTACCATTGCCTTAGCTGATATAGGTAAACTTACATGAGGCCATATTGATCTGTACCACTCAGCTACTCATCACTTCTGAGACATTGGGTGAACCATGTTTTGGAGATGCATTTTGAGGGCAAGATCTCTAAATTTGCAGATGATACTAAGCCAGGGAGAATAGTGAATTATGAAGATGACGCTGATCGACTTCAGAGGGATGTTGACAAATTGGCCAAATGGGCAGACACCTGGCAGATGAAATTCAATGCAGAGAAATGTGAGGTAATGCATTTTGCTAGAAGAAACGGGGAGAGACAATGCAGCTTCAATGATACAACTTTGATTGGAGCACAGGTACAGAGGGATCTTGGGGTTCACATGCATAATTCTCTGAAAGTGGCCAAGCAAGATGAAACAGTTGTTAAGAAGACTTATAGGATCCTTGGGTTTATAAATAGAGACACAGAGTATAAAAGCAAGGAAGTGATGCAACACCTGTTGTATTTAATGGGGTGGCACGGTGGCTCAGTGGTTAGCACTGCTGCCTCACAGCACCAGGGACCTGGGTTCGATTCTATCCTTGGGTGACTGTCTGTGTGGAGCTTGCACATTCTCCCCGTGTCTGCGTGGGTTTCCTCCCACAGTCCAGAGATGTGCAGGGTAGGTGGATTGGCCATGCTAAATTGCTCATAGTGTTCAGGGGTGTGTCGATTAAATGGGTTAGAGGGGCGTGGGTTTGGGTGGGATGCTCTGAGGGTCGGTGTGGACTTGTTGGGCCGAAGGGCCTGTTTCCACACTGTAGGGATTCTATGATTCTACCTCTACAAATAATTGGTCAGAACACATTGCGAGTATTGTGTTCACTTCTGGATATCATTTCTTTAATTTACTCATGGGATGTGGGCATTTACTATCTGAGCCTAGTTGCCCTTGAGAAAGTGGTGGTAAGGTGCCTTCTTGAACCGTTGCAGTCCACATCCTTTCTTATTTAATGAAGGATGTAAAAGATCTGGAGAGAATGCAAAGGAAATTTACTAGACTGATATCAGGAATGAGGGATTTTAGATACACGGAAAGATGTGAGAAATTCAGCTTTTTCTTCTTGGAGCAGAAAAGAGGTGATCTTATTAAGGTGTTCAAATTATGAACAATTTTGACAGCGTAAACAAGGATATTCTGTTTCCACTAGTAGATGTCAGTAACTAGAGGTTACAATTTCAAGGCTGTCAGCAAGACAGCTAGGAATGAGATGAGAAATTTCTTTACTCAGAGAGTTGTTAGGATTTGGAATGCCTGGGAGAGTGGTGGAGGCAATTCCATTGGAGGTTTCAAAAGACAGCTGGATATATATTTGAAAGTGATGAATTTGGAGAACTACGGAGATAGGGCTCGAGAATGGGGACAAGATGTTTAGCTCTTTCGGGAGCTGGTACAGACATGACAGGTTGAATGGCTGTCTCCTGTTCTGTAAAATTCTATATTTTTAATTGTCGAATAAAAGTACAGTACTGCAGATATTGGAGATCTGAAATAAGGACAAAGTGCTGGAGAAATATAGCAGGTGTGGCAACATCTATGGTCAGAAAAACAGAATTAACATTTTGAGTCCGATATGATTGTTCTTGGGAACAGTTCTGAGGAGTTCCATAGAGGAATCACATTGGACTCAAAATGTTAACTCTGTTTTTCTCTCCATAGATGCTGTCAGATCTGCTGAGGTTATCCAGCACTTTGTTTTTATTTCATATTTTTAGCAGGGCTGTTAAAAGTGGGAAGACAGACAGTCCAGAAATACAGTTGTTATAATGCCTATAAATGTTCCAGTCGAAAGTAACAGCGCCATTTGATTGATCTTGTTTCTTAATAATGTATGTAACAATATACTTTGTAGCAGATTATTGTGGGAGTAACAAGTCCCGTGTAATAATCCATCAACTTAAATGACACACTGAAAATGAAGAATGTGTGAATTGGATTGTAGTGGTTCAGATTATAGTGAAGAATTTAAAGTGTCATTAGAAAGTATAACATGTAAATAAAAGTTGCTGTATGATCTTGTGTGTATGAAAAAGTGAACTGGCATTTTATTGTGGAAAACAGATTAATACGTACACCATGACTGTTAACACCTTTTACTTTACTATGCTAACTGTCTATTGCAGGTTGTCCACTTTACCTGACTAACTTTGAACTGGTGGAGAAGTTGGAGTCACTATCCAAACAGGAGCGGGAACTTCTATGCTCACTGCTGTTTCACACTCTCAATTGGTTCAGAGAGGTAATGAAGCAAGCGTAGTGTTTTTAATGAGTTGGTCTGGTCTGGCCAGTTCATAGTCAATTGTAAAACTGCTTGAGAAATTCTTTAAAAACTCAATCTGTGACAGCCATCCATAGATTTGGTTTCAAATCAGTTATAGTGTCTAAGTAGGCAAGATCGTTGCAAGATACAGAACAGTGTGGCTGACCAGTTGTATGCATGGGATGACAATTCTGTGTGAGATGGTCTCACTTGTTATTTTTTCTGTCCAGGTCGTGAATGCATTCTGTAAACAGCAGGACACTGAGATGAAGGGCAAGGTACTTCTCCGGCTGCAGAACATTACACATCTACAGGTGTTACTGGAGAAGTGTTTGGCAGGTTCGGTGTAGTTTATGCTCTTGCGTCTGTTTATTCTTGGCTTTTTAGCTGAATGTAATGTCTGGTGTACACTAATTAATATAGATATTTTTCCATGCTACTTTTGAGGTTTTCTGGATGATTATATGTGGGCTGAACTCGCTATTTGTAAGATGGTGTACAAGCCACCCTTACACATGACCTGATCTGAAGAGATCTAAATCTATTAATATGGATCTTTTCTTAGACAACATAATTCTGTTGCTTTCTCTATTTATAGCAAATGTGTAGCATTTCAGGCGAGACCTACACATAGTTATTCTTCCAGTTTGCAGTTCTACCAGCTGAGCTTCAACATGCCATGTGATCTCAAACTGAAATTGCCAGTTTAATCTGGATGAGTGCCATATTGCGAAAAGTGGGGTTATTTACAATGTGACTCCTTTCATTTATTGCACATGAAGGAGGTTGGGTGTGCCCACTGTCTGATTGATAAAAGCATCTGTAAGCCTGAAAAGTTTTGTTGTCCCTACGGGACCTTAGTACTGTACTTGTGGTAAGTTGCCTGCAGATGCAAAGCAGCTGGTCAATTGAAGGGTGATTGGAAGAATTGGATAAATGAGAAATCTGGAAGAAGACATGAGCTGGCAGAGTTAAGTTGAAGGTGGGCTACAGTCTGCAGAGATTTAGGCATCTAGCTCCTGTTGGCTGCACAATGAACACCTTATTTATATTAAGGAAAAAACAACATAATCTCTTTATGGAGCAGCCTTTTTGGAGGAACGTCTGGTCAGGCTGCTCTGAATTGGGTACCAATACTTGCTTTGTTCATTAGTATTTAAAAATTGTTTGGATTTTTAGTAATGTTAATTTCTGCCATTTGTATTATGAGTTTCATGGAGAGCCTTGGTCACCTGTCTGAAGAGACCCAAGTGGGTCATGGGAGTAACAGGATGCTGATTTTGATCTTTGTGCCCCAATTAACAATAAAGCTGGAGTATGGCTGATATAAACTGATTTAAATCTGGTACATTTTTAATTCTTGGGACGAAAGCCTCTTTTTTTTTCTCGTTGCGGAAGTGTGAACTGGGCACTCTGGGTATTTAGGGCATATTTTCCAAAGTTAATTTGAAAATTATATAGAAGCTATTTTTCATCATCATTGTAACAGTTTTTCTTATTTTGGTACTTAAAATATTATTGCTGTCCTCTGTCTTCAGTTTGAAGATTCTAATCTGCTGTTATTTCCTTTAACATCTCAGCAACACCTGGATATATCCCTCCACTGGCAAACTTTGATTTGGAGGTCACTGAGGTTCCTCTGACTGCATCTCATGCAGCAACAACTAAGAAAGGAAAGAAAGGTGATCAAGGGTTAAATGCAGAACTTCGGGTTGTCTGGGGACTGAGCAGGCAAATGGGAACAGGAGCAGGCTATTTAGCTTCTCAAGCCTGCTTTGTATTTCAGCCAGATGAGCTGATCTTCTGCCTCACCACCATTTATCCACATTCTCCCTTGATGTAATTAGCAACTAGAAATTTATCAGTCTCAATCTTCAACATAATCAGTGACTGAACTTCCAAAGCCTCTGGGTAGAGAATTCTAGAGATTCTAGACATTCACCACCCTCTGCATCAAGAAATACCTCCTGTCCAAATGGCCTGTTTCTTATTCTGAGACTGTGTTAATTGACTGTAGACCTCTAGCCAATGTAAATACCCTTCCTGCATCTACTGTGCTGAGCAGCTAAGAATTTTGTGTATTTCAATGAAATCACCCTTTGTTCTTCTGAACTCCAGAAAATATAGACCCAGTTTCCTCAGTTTCTCCTCGTACGACATTCCTGCCATCTCACAAATCAGATTGGCGAATCTGTGTTTTGTTTCCTCTATGCAAGCATGAAAGTTGCCAAAGTCTTACCAGACCATTGCTCTTGCAATGGAGTGGTGGGTGAACCTGAGCAGGCATCGCACCTCAGGTGAACGGGAAGGTTGAAAAGGAGAGTCCTTATTGGAACCTCAGCTAGTGGTGGGAATTGAACCCATGCCGTTGGTGTCACCCTGCATCACAAACCAACCTTCCAGTCAACTGAGCTTACTGCCTCCCCATGGCAAGCACATCCTTCCTTAGATAAGGAGACCAAAATTGTACACAATAGGCCTGGTGCTCCTCTCGCCAAGGCTGTATGCAATTGCAGCATGGCTTTGTAAATCCTTTACTCAAATCCTATTGCAATAAAAGTGACCATACCATTGGCCTTCCTAATTGCTTGCTGCACTGAAAGTGTTGGCTTTCAGTGACTCTTGAATATGGAGACCCAGCTCCCTGTGGATATCAACACTTCCCAGACACTCATCTTTTAAGAACTACTCTGCATTCTGTTCTAACATATTGTATTCCATCTGCTGTTTTCTTGTTCATTTGCTTGCCTTGTATAAATTTCCTTGAAGTTTCCAAGCAGAAAGTTCTTTGAAATCCAATGCAACTATAATCTCTGTTACTCATCCCAACATTTCTGTGACCAAGAAAATTGTTCATGGTTTGATCTAGTCTTTTCTGGTCTCTTTGAGGCAGTAGCACCATTGGTGTGACCATAGTTGATCTATTTTTCCTTCCCTTCAATAGTATGTTGGGGAGAGGGGATAAGGAGCTCCAGCTTAAATCAGGAGCACCTACTCACTTTCAGATGAAAAGTAAACTTGCTTGCTGGGCCAGTCAGTCCATCCTGTGAACAGTTGACATTTACTCAGCAGCAGGATCTGAAGTTTCAGTCACAGGCTACATTGAGTTGAGTGACCTCAGCTAAGTTGGTCGGATTTCCTGTTCCTTATTACAATTCAAAGACTATTTTGGGGAAAATTGCATATGTTTAGAAAATGATCAAACTCTGATTTCCCCACTTTGGTTGACTGTCCAGCTGGTGCTTATTGCTTTGACTCAGTCAATAAATGGCCACTTGGGCCCTCTTGGGGATCTGTGATAGTGTCCCTACCCCTGAACCAAGAGGCCTAGGTTCAAGTCCCACTTGCTCCAGAGGTGTGTAATGACATCTCTGAACAAGTTGATTAGCAAATAGGTTAAATAAAAAGACTGCTTGGCCAGGTACCATTAGCTGACTGGTGTCTTTGGAACTGAAGCCAGTGTCTTCAGCAGAGTAAAATGAGAAAAATGAGCAAAACACAAAATACCAATAGGAGCCCTGGTGTAAGGGTCCAATATCAGTAAGTTCAGAGCCTGGTGACAGTTCATGTTTGTTTTTATGTGTCTTTTTCCTTCAAGATCAAAAGGGTAAGAAGAAACAGAAATCTGAGGGTAACAAGAATTCTTCTACAGACAGCTCTCAGACCGAGGAGCCTACAGAAGAAAGTCAAGTGCAATCTGAAAGTACACAAGGGAAGGTACAGTTAACAAGGACATGCAGATGTTTGGCTTTGACCTTCACTTGTACCCTGTTTCTGTGAAGCAATGACTCATTTTCTCTCACACTCTCCATTTATCTCACTTTCCCTTTTGGTCACGATATGTGCCTTACAAAGCACCAGGTGCAAATCTTTATCCCAACACTCCATGGTGCAATGTATCATTGATTTTAGTGTTCATGCACGCAAGATGATTGCATTTACTTGAAATTGCTCTTCTGTTGTTTACAAAATTGTGTAGATCACATGGAGTGGTAAGGCTCAGTTTTAGGACTGGAGTAAAATTGACTTGGTAGGATAGTTGACCTGGTGGATATTGATGGCCAGGGCTTTACATGTCATCGATAATGTGTACAGTGATTGCAATAATTAAAGTTAATGAATGATGATCCACAATTCATTATGAGAAAATGACTGTGTGTCCTTTAAATGTCTAGGTGATGTTTCACACAGTATCTTGTATTCTGCAGGAAAACACAGAAGAAGGGAAGGTCTTTATAAATTTATCCAATTACAGAGCCTACTTTAGAGAGCTGGATACAGATGTATTCTTTGTCCTACGGTGTAGACTAGTAACCAAATCCCTATTGGAGACTGAACTACGTACCAAGGTCAGTACATAGCTTAATTTGTTGTCAAGAAGTCTGTCTGGAAAATTCACAACACTTAAAAAAGTTTATTTCTTTATAACAGTACTACACTGCATAGCTATATTTCTAATCATCTATACAGTTCAGTTCTGAAATAATTAGTTATGTAATGTAACATTGTCCGTTTAATCATAAGGTAAATTTAATTGTAAACTAGTGAGCTAAATCGACCATACAGGGCCACTAATTTCACACTGGCTTATAGGTCAATATCAATATTGATGGATGTTTTTTCTTGTAGGCTACTGAAGTTGTGCAGCTGAGGTCAGCTGAACTAATGTTTCTTCTGGAGGACCTAGCTCGTAAATTAGACTACATGTTGGTTGCAACTGCTGCAAAAAAAATGCTCTTCTTAAAGGTACATAGCTAATGAAAATTGATTATAGGAAGGATATTTATGACTTATTAATAAGGTAGATTCTCTGGAATATGGAAGCATAATTTGAAATAGTTCACTTGCTGTAATCTTTGGCTGGATAACATTCATAAACAGTTTCAAATATATGGACAGTATTCTGCACTCTTGGGTCCAGCTTTGCAAATATTTTCCAAATGTTCCTTGTTCTATTTTTACTTGATACAGGAGAAAGACAGAAATGCTGTCATTGCTGAACTGTTGTTACATTGGAACCGATGAATTGCTTGAGTACTGCACATTGCACATCATTTGTTTCAGTCACAGGTGGCTGAGTGCCAAAGTACATTGCTGTCCTAATGCCGTATGCCCATGAGAAAATCATAGGTCCACCTTAACATTTCCCACAAAATAACTTCCTCATCTCCATCAAGTTGTTGCTAAGGGAGTGAAGGGAGGGAGGTGGAAGATGGATCCTATAAGAATGAGACACTTGTTCCTGGCAAAAGCAAAAAGCCAGAAGCGCATGCAGCCAACTTGAATGTCAAGAAGTGATCCAGGGATGGCTATCTGTTGCGTGTTAAATTATGTAATCTAGGTAAGAAGGGAAACAAATTTAGTACCATCAAAGGTAGCTTTAAAAACGGGACAAAATGGACAAAATTATATCTTAACATAACTAGAAGGTTAATAAGAAGGTCCTGAAAATTCTTGTATTTGTTGTTTTAGTCATTGAAAAGCAAAATACTATAGATGCTGGAAATCTGAAACAAACACAAAAATGCTGAAGGAACTCAGCAGGTCTAGCATCATCTGTGGAGAGCAAAACAGAGTTAACATTTTGAGTCCAAATAGTCATCTCAGACTTGATATTAATTCTATTTCTCTCTCCACAGATGCTGCCAGGCTGACTGAATTTCTTCAGCATTTTCTGTGTTTGTTTCAGCCACTATTTCTTTGAACGCTGCATCTAAATTTACCTTTGCTTGTGACCTGTCTCTCCATTCAAAAACGTTCTTTTTTAATTCTCTTTAAGCAGTCAAGAAGCTTCATTATATTTCATTAAGTAAGGGAGGATGAAGATTGTAAAATTGCAAGATGCTTTGTTGCATGTGCATGTCTCTGCTGTAGCAACACAGAATCTTTTCGAAAATGTCTAGGCCAACATTCCAATGCATTACTGAGGGCAGTGCTGTTGTATCAGATATCTTTCAGATGAGCCATTAACCCGAGAGGACACAAAAGATCCCATCGTGCTACTTTAAAGAAGAACCTGGTGTACGAGTCAATATTTATCCCTCAACCTATATTTTGGGAGAGAAAAATGATTATCTGGTCATTATCCCATGGTTGTTTATGGAATTTTCCTGTGGACAAATTGACTGCCGCATTCCTACATTACAAGTCACTACTTTTCAAAAGTACATATGCCAATTATGAAGCTGTCACGGTATCCTAATGCGCTATGTAAATGCAAGTCTTTATTTCAATGTGTTTATATTTTCTTCGAATGCATTTGCAGTGGGAAAGCTGCATTGTGTATAAATGAAAGTTAAATTCTGAATTTTTTTTAGAAACACATTTTATTATTTACTACTTTTAATTTAGGTCAAAGGTGATCGAGATGTCGGATTTTCGCACTTACGCCAAATGACTCCACAAGAACTTGCTCAGACTGCTGTAGAATTGCTCAATCCCTTGTGTAACCATTTGGAAAATGTTCACAATTACTTCCAGGTAAGGGCTGTTGGCTGTGGAGATGTATAATTAGCCACAGCAATGCAGTGAGCTGTTGAGTTTGCTCATGAACCCTGAGGCAGGTGGATTGCTCTATGTTTCTAATTCATGAATTGCTTACCTTCAATCAGTAAGATGTAGGATTTATCTCAAGCACATTAAGCAAAGGTATGTTTTAAAAAGGTTAGGATGTGGGTTTGCTCCTGTACTATGTTTTCCAATTTTTGTTGTGGTAAGGGAATGAGCTTTTGAAGGCACAGCCTCACAAGAAAGGATGGAAAATTGAAGGGTTGGATGCCATAAATTCCTCTTGTATAGATTACAATAGCTATTTATAAAAAGTTCTGGCCAGAACTCCAGCATGTATTTGTGGCATGGTTCAGGGCGAGATTTCAGGGAAGAACAAAAGAAAATTAACCCTTAAAATGCAACTGAAACAATACAACACTGATAGTTGATAACATGGTGTAGAGCTGGATGAACACAGCAGGCCAGGCAGCATCAGAGGAGCAGGAAAGCTGACGTTTCAGGTCTGGACCCTTCTTC